TCAGAAAACATACGAACTCAGATCTGAGCTGATGTCTCAGTTGTCTCAGATCTGAGGAAGAAGAATTAGAGGGAAGAAGAAGATGAAGAAGAAGATCTAAGAACTCATATCTTAGATCTGAGAACTCAGATCTGTGTTTGTTGCCGCCTCCTTGCTGTCGCCATTATCGTTGCTGTGAGCGTCGAACCACCCTCCTCTTTCTTCTTCTTCCCTCCTTCCTTTCTCTTCTTTTCTTTTTTCCTTTCTCCTTTCTTTCTTTTCTTCTTTTTTTCTTTCTCGGCCGACAACATCTCTTCTCTCCTTTCTCAAATCTCATAACTCATATAAAATATTTGCCCTAATATGTAAACCGTCCAAACCATTCAATCCGAACGGTCAAACCGCTGACCCAAAAACCGGTAACTAGAACGGTTCTATTTCCGGTTCAGTTTTTAAAACCTTGCTAGTAACCTATGTCTTTTTTAGCTTTCGACACCTTTTCAAATTTTACCGCCAACTTACTGAAGCGGTGGTCTCTTTTTTATTCTACCTCTTCTTACCGGCTAACGACTTTACCTCTTACCTTCTCCCTTCTCCTTGTGCTGTTGTCCCTTCCTCTTTGAATCCATCTCCCCCTATTGGCCCATGCCCATCGACCTCCATATGTCCGCTTCATCAATCTGCCACCTCATCCCCTCCTTCCACGTGTGTTTTCTTTTTCAAAGATTCTGCCAGCTCATCTTCTTCTTTCTCTTCCCTACGACTCTTCGACTTCTTGGGATTTCCTACTCGTTTTTCCTACCCACTCTCTACCCGCCGTGAATTGGAGTCTCACATCTCTATTATGAATTAAGAGATGTGTGGATCATCCAATTCACAGGGGCGGGTAGAGAATGGGTAGGAAAAGTTTGTAGGAAATCTGGGCTCCTTCTTCTCTGGCTCCTCCCCTATTTTCCCGCCCAGCCTTTCTCCTTCCTCCTCCCTCCCCCTCCTTCTTCCCTACTTTTCTCGTACGCATCCACCTTCACCCCTTTTTCCTTCTCTGTACTGCAGTACATACCATTTGTTCCTTCAATGAACAGTTCGCCTGCAAATAGCAAAACCATCTACTTTGGAACATCCGACGGCTACTCTACTATTACTAGAATCCTTGCCATGTCCATTTTCTCCCATTTCTATTTCCTATCATCCGATTGTACGAGTCTTCCACAGGATTCTGCTATTTCCTCAAACGTGTTGATGCACCATGCCTGTAATGGAATCCCCACAATATCTATCCACACCACACATTTTTGTCCTTGTTCTACAATTTTTCTACTATGAAACATTATTAGTACTAGTTCTGCTTGCAGTTTCCTTGCTCCCAGGACCTTTTCTCTCCCCCATTCTAAGGTCGCCCAACTCTCAACTTCTCTCCAGACTACTCTACCTATCAAACCTGCTCAAAGAACATTCATTCTCTCTTCCAGCTTTCCTGATTATCTCACATCCACAACTACCTCCAGGTTGAACCAAGATTCCTAACCTCTTCTCTCTTCTTCTTCTCTATCAGTAAAAGAAAAATTGATCATGGGGGATTGTCACTCATTTCCATGCTTTATTTCATAGCTAAAGTCTTGATCATCTCCTCTTCTTCTCACATAACTTCTCAAATATTCCTCATTACTGGGTTTGAATTTCTATGATTTGGTTGGGTGATATTTTCTCTCTGTTATAAAAATCTTGGAGCTTAAACTTTTGATTTCCTTGGTTTCATGCTTTGTTTAAGAGGGATAGAAGAACAGGGGAAGAGCCCCTTGCTGTGATAAGCAAAGACTGGAGAAAGGGGCATGGTGGATGAGCGGATGGCCATTGGAACTGAGAAATGGTTTAAGGAACCCACGCTTGTAGCTACAATCGGTTTTCCTGCCAAAAACGTAGCTGTTATTGTTTAATTTTTATTTTCTTATTTATTGTTACTTTTAGATTTTTGAATATGTCCAAGTTTTAAATTTTTAGGGCTCGTTTGGTTCGCGATCGGAATCGGAATCTGAACGGCCTATTTCACTTGGTTGTTTGGTTCAGACCGGAATCTGAATTGAATTCTGATTTATGCTGTTTAGTTCATTAAGAGGCTGGAATTGGAATCAGCCATGATTTCCAATTTTGCCCTTAACAAAAATAAAAAAAGCAGAAAATGCATGAAAATACCAAAAAAATGTAGAAATTGTAGAAATTTTGTAGGAAATGTAAAAATTACAATAATTTTGTAGAAAATTCAGAAAAATGCATGAAAATACTCAAAATTTGCAGAAATTGCAAAAGAAAAATGTAGAAATTTTGCAAAAAAAATGCAGAAACACCATTTGCAGAAAATGCATAAAGAAATTCTATTAAGAGGTGTCTATTAAGTGGGGTCCATCTTGTCTCATAGTAAGTACCACGTGGTAAGTATTAACTCCAAGTGGGGAGAGGAATCGTTGGCTGTACAGGGTCCAATACCACCAGCTCTTTGCAACTACAAATGTCTTCAACATCTAGGCCCCGTTTGGTTTCTAAGAATAGGGGTTTGGAATTGAAATCGAAATGGGCTATTCCGATTCCTACTGTTGGGTTGGGCGGAATCGGAGTCCTATGCTCATTCCTGTTCGAATGACATTCCCTCATTTAAAGGAATGGCCATTCCCTGCCATTCTCTTGGGAATCCCATTCCTGTCTGAACCAAACAGACTATGGGAATAGACCATTCCGATTCCAATTCCGACTACGAACCAAAAGGTGATTGCGGGTGTGTATGACATTTTGGTAGCATGAAACACGACATGGGAATGGCACCCCCAGAATGGGAATGGCATTCCTTGGGGTGGGATCGAGATGGGGGAATGCCCATTCTGCCTAGAATGGAAATGGAATTCCCATTCCGTTTAATCAAACATCTAGAATGGGAATGAACCATTCCGATTCCGATTCCAGATTCCTATTCCTTCGAACCAAACAGACCCTTAGTTGTTGATGCTGGAGCGTACAATCTGTTGCTTTATTACCCTTGGGCATTATTCTAGATCCAAGCAATCATTTCTCTTCCACCAGAGTAAGCCAAATTCACAAGATTCAAGTAACAAACTGGAATATAGCTACCATGTTTCTGTTGGATTTAGGTAAAGAGGGGGTGGGGGAGCTTAAACATGAAAACATGAGGTTCTCATGCAGCTTAGATCTGTTTCAATATTCGATAATTTCCTTTTGTGCAAATCTGTTTCAATAGTTGCAATAGCATAAAGAAAACCATGTACCTTCATTCCTATGCACCAAAAAAGAATAATGCATTCTAGTTTCAATTCCTTATAAATATTGGGGCATATCAACCCTAGTGGAAGAATTGTACACCACAATTTGAATAAATTCATGCATGCTTATGACTAAATTACAACAATACAATGCAATTTGGATCATAGATGATTTTTGGATCTCTTTATGTCATGTTTCTCGTATGGTGTATCAGCAAAACTTCTGATGCAAGCCCTGCACAATGAAAATGTGGTAGGAGTTTCATTGGAGATGCAGAAACTATGAAACATAGATGGAACCAGCATCTTTTTTTTTTGAGCTAGCTGTATGCTTTCATAACTGGTTGGACATTATCTTCATCAACCTAAACTTGAGTGCTCATTCTTTTTACACTAAATGCTCTACATCTCCTAGTTCCACTTCACCTGCTTTGCTTTCTCCTTCATTCTGAAATAATAATTCTATCTCCTCTAAGAGACTTTCCCTTTGTTTCTGGAACAAATTTGCTAGCAAAGACAACAGAGAGAGCTGAAAGCATGGAAAAGATGAAGAAGATTCCCACCACTAACTACAATGGCATTGGAAATAAAGAGGAAGGACATGACAACAAAAAAAAAGGGGTCAAAGGGAAGTTATTAATGACGCACCTAATATAAAAAAAAAAAAATGTGAGGGAGAGAGAAATGTTTTAGCTTTTACCTTTATAATAATTAATAGATAAAATTAACTTACAAGTTAAGTAATTTTAGTTTTATAATTTAATGGCCTTCTTCACTAAAAAAATTAAGTAATTATGACTCTGATATTTAATACCGTTCTTGGAGGGAAAATTTTTCCATTTTGGATTTGGATAAGTCAAATATTTGTTGATTTTTAAATTTTATTGTTTTTCTAAAGGAAAAAATTATTTTCTTGTTAGATTAATTTTGAAAAGAAATCCAATTTTGCACAAGTTTGATTTTATTTATAAGGACATGTAAAATAAAATCGAAAAAATCTTATTTTACTTAATTTTCCGTTTTGCTAATTGTACAAAATTCTAATTCTAAAAGTTTTTTATAGCAAGTCATCCGGGAACAATATATCTTTGTCATTAGCCGCTGCGAAGCAAGGGCCCCCTTAGCTAGTATCATTAGAAAGAAAACATTAGAAGAGTTTTGAAAGCATGCCAAACAGAGCCTAAATAGCTGTGTAACAAACATGGAGAACTCCGGCCTTGACAATCAAGATGTCATCACTGCACTTAGAGGAGGAACATTGTGAGGTTGAACCAACATACAGGACCCCCAAATGGAGGGTATATTTGACAACTACTCTGTCAAGCACCAAATTATTACCCCAACACTAGTTATTGCTTCTCAATTGCTACGTGCTTATATTGCATATATTGTCTTTTGGGCTTTGGCTTGGGCTTTGACAAATCTTCGGTTCCTAGACCCTTTCAAAAGCGGAGTTTTGAAGTCCAACAAGTTTTATTGAATTTTTTATAGGGCAAATTTCTTAAAGTATCCTAAGATTTAACTAATTAATTAATTTTATCCTTATTGTTTGAGTATGTCAACTCTACCCTTATTGTGAACATTCATTAATATTCCATCAAAAACTATACTCGTGACATGTATAATTTTTTTAAAACTCAATTTTATCCTTCATCCCTTTCCCTCTCCTTTCTTCTTCTTCCTTTCAATAGCAAACCCAATGACGGTGATAACCCCCTCCACCGACGTTGTTTCCATTATAGTCGACCAAAGCAATGACCGTTAACCCAATTTCACCACTATTTTATAGAAGAAAACAAAACCAGACCAAATTACTTTGAATCTTGATTATCCCAACGATCGGAACCTAGTTTTCATAAATTTCAGTCAAAAACAGAGAACGTCAACCGTCAGACGAAAACCAGCCATGATGCAACGATTGGAAAGCTTTCTGTCTCTTCAATACAAGATCTCGGTTCATCGTCAGGCCACTGCAACTCCCTTCTCTGTCAACGAGAACAGGGGAGCTGTAGCAGCAGAGCTCTCCTCTTGATGGTGTAGTTGGAGAGAACGATTGTAGAGGCAGAAAACAACTGATTCCCGGAGCTATAGACAGGGTTCTCTAACGCTAACAGGGTATTATGTATCCCAGATTTTGGATTCTCCCTCACATTCACTCTTCCGCCAAGCCCTAGACCAAAGCACGCTTCTCGGCGATCGGCAACCCCATTGAATGCGAAAGCCACTGGCGGCGACACACTAAACCGAGCTCTTACTGATCCGAGCACCCATTGTTCCGAAGCCGACGACCAACAGCCAATGCTCAAAATGGACAACATTTCAAATCTCTAGCTCTTTGAACTGAGTACCAAAACAACTAGATTTATCTTTGAAAGTTGTGCAAACTCTTTGGATTCAAATCCTGGTGACCGATCTATGCATGGTTCCGTAATGCTTGTGATTAATTATTCAGACCCCTTTAACCACCTTACACTTAAACATGGACTTCGATCTGTCGATAAAAATGACAAAATGTAAAGATCAGTAGGGGCTCGGTTCAGTAATACAAAAAAGAAGAGGAAAGAACAATGGAAGAAGAAGAAGAACACACCAGAGTGTTGCAGCCGGTGGATTCTGTGTTCAATGGGGTCACTAGTCGCCAGAAAGCATGCTCTAGTCTAGGGCTTGGTAGAGGAGAGAGAATCCAAAATCTAAGGGATCGATAATACCAATAGTTATTGTGTCCGTTCAACCGGATTCTTTCACTAACAGCCCTCTATCTTGTTAATATTAGCGAAACCCGAGAACGTCGACATGGACGTTTTTGATAGCCTGTGAACCCACAGGAAGCAGAGGAGCTCAAAATCGAGAAAACGAAGGGGAAGATGGAGAGAAGGGGCCGGAAGTGGAGGGGTGAAGGTGCAGATGATGGATATAGCAATGGAGGTGGCGATGAAAATTTTTCAACAGTTAAGTTTTATTTTGAAATTTTGAAAAATAATGGAGGGCAAATTTAACATTATAGTTTTTTTCAATGGTGAGAATTGTCAGAAACAGTAGAAATAATACTAAAATAGTAAGAGTATAGTTGGTCAATTTCCTTTAGAGATTGTCTTCTTTATGCAGGTTGCCATGGGATTTTGAAGTGGCTGTACAATAAATATTCCTTGGTGTTGTCTTTTCAGAAGTATAACCTGCTTGTTTCACAAATCAGTGTGTGCAGCTTCTTGTGAGAGCCCCTCTTTCTATTTTTCCTGTGATCTTTGAACAAATTCCGACATCTGAGAGGTGGAAGCAAATAATGAAATTGTGAAAGGGTCAAATTAGTTTGCCGTCTTTTTTGCAATTTTGAAACGTCACTTTCAGCCCTATTATTCAAACACATTTTTGGTATTATAAGACAGCTAATTAAGGCAATTAGAATTTACAAATAAAAAGAAAAGGCATGGGCCATAGAGACGGCCACCATTGGTAAGTGGAGCGGTTACCGTGGGAGAAACGCTATTAAGCAACGCCAACCAAGTGATAATGAACTTGAGGTTGATTACTCTAGTGGATCCAAGTCGGCTCAACTTTCTCGTTTCTGCAACAATTGGAGTGACGAAGTTGTAAATGTTTGTAGATGGATGTATACTGAATAAGTGAATATCTTGTAAATCTCTTATATATGGGGACCTCTTCAAAAATAGATAGAAATAATCAGGGCTTTCCTTCTATATTTTATACTACGAGAACTTACTGATCAACAAACAGGCCTGAGCCCCATGAAGTTAGCATCTAATCTTCCACCATGCACCCATCATCATCTTCATAAATATAATTCCTCCAAACAGGTTCAAGTAACCTCATTGCACTCTCTAATTGTTGCCTCTCATCCTCGTTTATTCTTGGATTCCTAATGTGAGCATCTATTTGAGGGTAAAGCACTTGCAGACAAGCCAACATGAGCCCCAGTTCTTCCCACTCTCCATGGTCAATTCTGGCCAATTTAACACAAACAAAATGCACCAATCCCAGAACCAACCCAAAATCCTTCCTTTCAAGCCCAACTGCTGAACCAGTCAAGAATATAACCCCGACTGCATCCAGTACTTTTGGATTTTCTCTCAAAAGTAGAGCTACCTTTTCCATTAGTTTCTTGAAAACCACAAAATCCTCTGGTTCATGAACCTTTTCAGTCTCCTCATCTTGGTTAAAGTCAATTATTTCACAGAGCTCAACCTTACCCAAAATTGTGAGCCATGATGGGAAACGATGCTTAATGTGATCAGATGCACTGGAACAACCTCCTTCTTGTGGAGCCTTTGTCATAATGTGGTCAGATCCTAGTGCTAGGATTATATCAGGTATCCATGACTTCACTGTAGCAACAAGACGTGTGGCATGGCCCGAACCCAAGTATGATTCAGTTGAGGCAATCAAATCAAGCATGTCATTGGCAAGACCAGAGACCTCCAGTGGTGGTGGTGAAGAGTCATTGCAATTTGTGAGAACTATATTTAGCAACTTTATTGCATAGGTGAAGGAACTCCTGAGGCAAAAGAACACTTCTTTCAACTCGTCTTCTTTGAATTGTAGTTTATCATGGGAATGCTTCCTTAGAGTTGAGATGACATGTTGAACAAATGCTGAAGTGAACTGCAAGCACCTTTCTTGATTGTGAGAACCAACATGTATGGCCATGGCATCAACAATAGACTTGAGAACTGTGGTAACCATTTTCAACATATTTGATATCTTCCTTTGTTTGGGTAAACTGGATCCTGCGTGTAAGTTAAAGGAAAGAAATAAGAGAATGAAGAAAGATAAGTATATACTTCTGAACAGAGGAAAACATCCAGTTGGGTAGTGGAAATGTCCTTCACATACAGGGTGGTTCAGCACTCCCAAGTCCCAATTGAACTTTACTGCAATACACGTTTGTTTCTAATTATACAGGGTGCTTAAGTACTCAATTGAACTTTAATGCAATAATCATTTTCTTTTTCTAATTGCTGCTGAAAATAATACTGAGATTGAGGGTGTGCATGCATCCAATTGATATCGGGTTGAGAGATACAAATAATGAATCAGGAAAAACTAATCAAACTTGCTAGTCAAATCATTTAGTGAAGTCAAAATGACCCAGGAATCACACATGTGGCAACTTAGTTTGGCACCTAAAAGGACACCCCATCCCCCTTTTGGACCCAATATAAGTTGACCCATGGAAGTTTCCTGGGTTATTTTGGCTAGCTAACAAGACAATCCAACTAACAAAATCTTCCCATTGTGTGTTTGGGTGTATGATATTCTAGAATACTCTAGAATATCTTACTAAATAGATTAATCCCCCTAAAACAAATTTAGAAACCAAAAACAAATAAAAAACAACTCCCTAGATAAAATAAAAAATTTGGAAAAAGATTCAATTCCCAACATAGCCCAACTCCTTATTGGTAAAGTAGCCATAATTCTCTAAAAAATATGTAGGAATTTATAAAATCATAACTTTCATTAAATAGATAATTGTATAACCGTTTTAGATGCAGCCAGGTGTAAGTATCAAGTGTGGGTACTTACAGGAGTTGAACCCTATGACCTCAAAATTTTCAGATAGACGAACTTGGATAAAAGTAATCTGCTAATCAATATTAACATATGGACTCATGAACTGCATGATAAATATTTAATTTCCAGTGATGCCAGTAAGCTATGTACTCTTCAAATGCAATCCATAATTGACATCCAAAAAGTTAAAAATTATTGGTAACAAAAAACAGAAGCAATAACTCAGGCTGAAATATGAAAATTAAAATTCCAAAGTGCAATAGTGTAAAGAAAATCCACATTTTATGATGTCTAAAGGCCATTCTTGGTTTAGCATTATATATGCTCATCACCTTGCTTAGAATTTAAAGGCAGTGATCTACTTTCTCCAATGAGCCTTGCATCAATTAGCTTCTCTGCACAATTAAGCAGATGATTCACTGACTGGTCCAACTCTGTTAGCTGAAAAAGAAAATAGCAGTTAGAATAAATTCTGGAAATGTAAGATAATGCTTTGGTCAGAATCAAGCTGTGCTTCAAAACACAGACTAAAGTCAAAAATCAATACCAGAAGAAGGAAAGCAAGAAAGAATTACCAACTCCGTCAAAAGAGACACTGATTGGTTTTAACATTCAGATGTTGTTTCTTTGATATTAATTAAAATAAAACTTTAATTAGGCAATTGGCACTAAATAAAAACTGCTAGAAAAATTAATGCATTAACAGAAAGAAAATGAAGTTAAGAAGAGCAATACCTCCAACGATGTAGTATCCAACCCGTTGTTCTTCTTTTCATCAGGACTGGTTTTATTAGTTAACCCAATTTTTTGAAAAGTCATGTTCATGGCAAGAGCTGTGTATGCAAGAACTGGTGATGTTTCCAGGAAATCATAACGCATGCATTGTTCAATAATGACCTCAGAGATGATCATCAAAGCTGAAAATGCCAGTTCCAATGTCTTGGACTTTAGCATGGAATTTCGTGTATATACAGACATGAGCAAGTCTTTTATCTGCCATGCTGCTCCTGCAGCAATAAGGCAATCTTCCTCAAAACTGGAAGTATCTGAACTAGAAGATTTTTTTCTGCTGGCATTTTTCGCTGAGGTTTTCACAGAAAACTTAGTTTTTGTCTGTCTGGTAGATTGTACACTCTTAGCGGGGACTTCTTTTCCAAATCTAATACAAAATCCAGAGGCAATATTTTGCAAGAGGCTGGTTAAGGATGCAAACATGTCATCAAATCTACCACAGGATAGCAACAGCTTATGGACAGAACTTATCTCTGCCTGCCTTTCCACATTTTGAGATAAACCACTGCAATTCATGATAAGGCCCATGCATTCTTCAGAAAGGATAGCTACATCATCTGGAGATAAAACAGCAGCAATGCTGAACACAGATGTTCGAGCACGCCCAGATGCAGCAGAAGTAATCAAGGACTTCAGCTTTCCACCTGAAAACAATTCCTGTAAAGCAGCTTTACAAGATGACTCGGTAACAAGAATGTTGCAAAGGTTGGAAGCACCAACAAGTAAACCCTCAATTTGATCAGCATTTAGATCATCAGGTGACAGGGCCAAATTGATAAAGACTCTGGCAAGCTCCAAGAGAGACTTAACAGATGACCCTTCTGATAAAGCAAATTCACAGAGCCTTGCCCCAGCCATAGGATACCTTTTTATAAGTGTGAGACAACGATTACATGCCTCTTGTGATGTTACTTTTGCAGGAAAGTATGATGGCATAAGGAGCCTTGTGATTTTCTGAGCAACAGGTGGTTGATCATTGGCAAGGGCAGAGAGTATTATATCTAGGTCCACAACCTAGGAACAAGAAAATGAATCAACTACTTCAAGAATGAAAACCATCATGATAAATTTATATACAAAACTTCAACAATTTGTGAAATTATATAGAAAGACCAGAAATTTGAGGGGAGAATCTTTACACATAAGGACTACCCAGTACAAAGTCCAGATCTAGGAGAGCATCATGTACCTTATTAAATGGGAAAGCCCGAATACTTTTTACAGCAAGGAGGAGATCAGTAAAAGATTCTCGTACAGAAAGAACAGAATCATGGAATAGATGTCCCAATCTAGGAAGAAGCACTTTAAGAATTTCATGAGTTTGGGGATTTCCAATCAAATATATTATGCCACTCAATGTAGAGATTCTAACCTCGCTGCATATATCATGTGACATATCATCTACAACTTTTGTCATAATCTTTGTTATAGTTGAAGAAGGAATAACTTCCCAAAACAAATGAAGAATACGACATGAACCTTGTACAGCAACAACTCTCACAGCAGGGCAGTCATCTATGAGTAACCGTTCCAATAAGAAGAATTGTTTATCAAGTAAAGCATCCTTAACCTCTTTTGTAGCATCTGGATCTTCAAGGGGGAACATGTCAAGGAACAAATGCAATGCATTTTGACGAACATTAGAATTTGCAACCTGTCAAGCAACAACAAAAGATAGAACCATCATCTCATTAGGCCTTCTTATAATTAATTTTTCTAAAAGAATGAAACTGCTAATATCAAAATATATCTCAAGTAACCAAATTGAATCATGTTTTATATAACTAATATCTTCATATAATCGTCATCTGAGCAGGCCTTGTCATGATAGAGCTAAGTCCCTAATTTCCAAATATATTTCGACGAACCAAACTGGTTCATGTTCAATAACTAGCATTCTCTACCATTACTGACTAAGATGATCATATATTACACAACCTTATTAATTTAGCAATTTAAATTACTTAGTTAATGCATTATGGCATTCATATTAAAAGGCTAACTTACATCTAATTGAAAATATATGTAGGGGAGAAAATGAGGAACAACTAGCATCTTCAATCTCACCCAACACAATTAGTTAACTCCACCATAGTTTGTACATCACTTTGATCAGTTCCGGGCTCCCAGCAAACACCAATTTATCCACTAACATGAAGAAGGCTGTTCATGGGATGTTTATAATATAGGTTTTCTTACAACAAAAAAGATATAGCTGCATAGTCATAGATGCAGATCAAGACTAAATATAAACATATAATTGCAAACGATATTGTAAAGCACATGGAAAGCTATAAAGAAATGGTGTAAGCTGAGTTCAAATTGGTGATAAGATGAGTTTGATAGAACTATGAAGCATGAGCTTTGTTAAAAGTGAACTGCTACCTTTTCCCAAGAAAAGGAACAATGTTGTAAGAAACAGATCCTGATGTCATTTTGAAAGTCCAGGGCTCCATGCATCATAGGTCTATTAAATTCATCTTATCACCAATTTGAACTCAACTAACAGCATCTCTTTATAGCTTCCTATGTGCGTTACAGTATCATTTGAAACTATATGTTTGTATTTCATTCTTATCTGCATATATGACTATGCAACTAAATCTCTCTTGTTGTAAGAAAATTTAGGGCCTATACATTTCCTCTTAACTCTTATCTCTTAAGAGGAATCTTTTAACTTTAAGAGAAAAATTGTTGTTTGTTTCCTCTTATCTTTTATCTCTTAAAGTGCAATCATACAACTTTTTGTTTTCCAATAATACCCCGAAAAAGACAAACAAAAACTCTCATATATGGAGTCAAAATGGATATTTGATAATTTTCAGAATTCAGAACAACATTCTCTACATTCAAAGTTCAGAGGAAAGAAAAGTTCACCAATACCAATATACCTCTTAATGTAATTATTGCACTTTCAGATGTCAGACTTCAGAGAGCAAACGAACAGGCCCTTATATTATAAACATCCCATGAACAACCTCTTCCATGTTATTGGATAAAATGGTGTTTGATTGGGAAGCATTGACAAAGTACAAACCATTAAGAAAGGACACACACACACACACACTTCCAAAACAAAGAAGATAGTCCCATATCATGAGCAACTTGTAACCAGCTTCAAAAGGCAATGTAATGTTATGTTGCAGCGGGAGATCCTTAGCTCTTTACCAAATAAGGAATAACAAATTAATACAGGTACTCCATAGAAGCCAAAGACAAATACCTGAAGAGACCGGAACAGTACAGGCTCAGCAAGGCAGAAAAGAAGCTTCTCGACACCAGCAGTAGTCCGCTGATTAATAAACCCTCCTAAAACCCTTCTTATAGAGGCAGCAAATGGTCCAGAACTTGCATGAATGGCACCTTCAATCAAACCCTGAAGAAAACAACTTTCAATTTCATCACGTGAAGATCCTTCTGAGGCTTTCCAGGCCCTGAAAGCAATATCTGCATATGCCTCCAACATGGATTTCCTTCCGAAAGGAATCTGAGACCGAATTATAGCCAAGGCTTCTTTAACAAGCTGATTGGACAATCCAAACAAAAATGCCACAAAACGCCTTCCCTCCTCCGTCTTCAAGTACAAAGGTGTAATGATACAACGAACCAGCAGGAGCTTCAGATCCTCAATGCTCTCATCCTCAAAATCAAATAAAGAGAACGCCTCCCGGAGGGCATAAACCCTATGCAAGTATGATTTTTTCCGAATAGTCAGTGACATCGACAGCAGAAACGGAAGGGATTGGGAAATTAGTGTTTCTCTGCCCGGCAACTGCTCCTTCCACCATTTTTCGCACAAGTTAGCAATCTCACAAAGTAGGATTTGATCCGGTTCAAATAAGACTAAGTTATCATGTAACGCCTGAACAGAAGGTAAGAGATCCGAAGGAGAAAAGGGCTTCTTCGGATGAGATATGCAGAGATGAGCAATGTAAGCGTAGGCTTGAAGACTCTGGAGAAGAAGTTGCTTTGCAGAAGTGATTTTAGTACTAGAGTCCTCATCAGTCGATTCCTTTGTGTTCTTCCTTTGTCTGGACGATCTTCGGAGTCGCTTAGTTGGGGGAGAACGTGGAGAGATAGTGCAGTCACCACCATTCGGTTGAAGCAATTGCTTGAAGGATTCAATAGATCCAACGACAGACTGATGCAGAGCGAAAGGGAGAGAGGAACTGAGCTCTGAAGATGAGGTGATGTTCCAAATTAGGGCCTTCAAGGAGGGTTTGACAGACTTGAAACCGATTTTGGTTGCAGACAAGAGGAATTCTTCCGCGGAACTTTGGAGAGACGAACGAAGCCTCTTCTCCATGGAGACAAGAGAAAATCTTTCGAATTCTTGCTCTACTTCTAAAACTGGATTTCAGAACTCAGGAGCCTGAAAGGTGAGAAGTGAAAGGGATAGAGAGATGGAACGATTGGCTTTGCAAAAGAGGGAGATATACAAATTTATTAGCAAGCACCAACAATCCAACATGCCATGAAATTTACAACAATGTTCAAACTCAAAACTAGCAGCATGATAACTAGATTGAAGTTAACGGTCATGTTCATAATACTCCAAGTATATCGAGCTAAAGCTGGCTTAAAGACCGATGGGAATAAAGAGGAAATGCAATCTCAGGAAATCGTAGGGAGAAATTGAAGAAGATACAATTCAAATTCTCCACTAATTTTGAGGGTGAGATAATCCGTCCAGATGAAACCAAACAAAGCACATAAAACATAAAGCCCAATCTGGTCACGGACATAATATAAAAATAAAAATAATAATAAGAACAGAAGAAGAAGAAGAAGAAGAGGAATTTACCGTCGATTATCCGTTGATTTCTTGCCTTCGGACGTTGGTTGATGTCGGTCGCCGGTGATTTGGTAATGGGATAGTGTTCGGATGAGAGAGGGTGGGACTGTGGGAGGTGAATCCAAATGTGAGAGAGGGAAGGGAAAATTCAAATTTACATCTTGGTCCTCTTGGAAGCTTCAATAAGGGGGATTTTGGCTTTTTTGTGCCGGTTCAACCAGCCGAATGAATGTTAATGGCAAAGCCCAGCCCGTTTGGCGCGTCTTTCTGCGCGATCTTTCGGTTGTTTATAAGCCAGGAAAACCGATTTTTGGTCCATTCTTGTTTGTCTCGCGGAAGATCTAGTCGCTAAAAGACGCGAGAAGCCTATTTCGGATTGATTTTGGAAAGCTTAAAGTGAAGCTTTTTGTATCTTTTGCATTTTATTCTTATGCGGAAAGACACAGAAAGACATGTGTCTGCCAAACGTGCTTCAAGATAGGGGTGCAACTTGGGCAGGTCCAGACTGAGCCTGAACCGACCCAACCTGAAATTTTACATGGGCTGGGCTTGGATTTTCGGTCTTCAGGCCCAAGATGTTGGGCTTTTTTATTTTTCGGGTTGGGCTCAGGCCTAGCCGTAGCCCGAACCCAGCCCGAGCTTGGTCCAATTATATACATTTATACATATATATGTGTATATATGTAAATGTTACATACATATTTACATATGTATATATATATATATATATGTATACATATTTTCATAAATACATTTATAGATGTATAATTTTAGAGTGGGTTCATTTACCAACTCGAGCCCAACCTAAGTGCATCAAATTATAGGACGGGTTGGGCTCGAGTTGGGAAAATTGGGCTTGACCTCGAGCTTGGGTCGGGCTCGGGCCTTAAGCCCAAATTTTAGGGTCTGGCCTGGGTTGACCATAAACTTGACCCAACCCGCCCGACTTGCACCCTTACTTCGGGCTGCTCAGATCTTCATGCAAAAGCTCAATGCGTTTTTTGCATGTCAGAGCTACTAGAAGATCTTCCCAAAAAGACACGCCAAACGGGCCCAAACTAGTAGAGGGAGTGAGGGACCCTTGCATTGCATGGGCAAAACATGATGCATGTCAGAGCTACTAGAATATCTTCCCAAAAAGACAACGCCAAACGGTCNCTACTAGAATATCTTCCCAAAAAGACAACGCCAAACGGTCCCAAACTACTAGAGGGAGTGAGGGACCCTTGCATTGCATGGGCAAAACATGATGCTTGTCAAAGGTAAATTGTTATATAAGAAACAAAATTTCTTAAAGGTAAATTTTTAATTAAAAATTTATTAGAAAACAAATATCTATTTAAAATAAAAAAAAAATTATGGATAATAATGTATTTAATTTAATAAATTAAATAAATAATCATGGCTACCAGGCAATAAAGTGAAAGAGGGAGAGATGACTTTTTTCATTGTATTTTTGTTTTATATAGTGGAATAATTGTAAATAGTTAAATAATAATTAATTTTATTTAATAAATAAACAAATTTATAAAATAAATGAGATAAATAGACAATCAAGTGAGAGAGAGTAAATGTATATAAATATATACACGATTCTATGTCTTACTTTGCTAGCAATAATAATTTGTTAGATTATTAAATTATTAGCTAATTAAATAATTTAGTAAAATAAGTAAATAAATAAATAAAACTTTATGTTTTGTCAACACAATATTGGTAAAGGATATCTCAAATTATTTAATTAATTAATTTAACGCTATTAATGGGTCAGACTTAACTACTGAGCTACCAAGCCCACGAACAAGCTTAGCCCGATTCGTGGCCCGACCTAGCCAAAGACTTTGCCCACAGACGAGCCTAGCCTATGATATGGCACGGACCCGTGCGGGCTTAAGCTAAAATAAAATTTTAAAATCTTCTTTATTGTCTATTTTAATATATGTTATATTATAATTATAATATTATATAATTATTGTGTATAATATTACAAATCAGGATAAGCCATGTTTTTTAAAAGTTTTGAAAAATAATGAAAAAATTAACATAAATTAAAATAATTAGAGAAAAAGTTAAAAAAAAAAGATCTTAAAATTTTATTTTATATGAATTTTAATGTATACAATTGAAAAAAAATTATATATATTATATAATTATTATCGGGCCACAAACTGGGGCTAAGCCATGTCTTATAAATTAAAAAATAGATAAAAAAATAAAAAAAAAAGATCTTAAAATTTTATTTTATATGAAATTTGATGTGTACAATTGTTTATATATGCACTAATAAAATTGAAAATAAAATTATATATACTAATATATTATATAATTATTGTATATAATATACGGCTTGAGCTCGTGTAGGCTTGTGTCGTGCCACAGGCTAGGTTGGTTCACAGGCCAAGTATTAGGCCAGGCTGGGCCACAAACTGGGCTAAGCCATGTTTTTTAAAAAAAATGAAAAAAAATAATGAAAATTTTAACATAAATTAAAATAAATAGACAAATAAATTAAAAAATATCTTAAAATTTTATTTTAATGAATTTTGGTGTACATAACTGAAAATAAAATTATATATTAATATATTATATAACTATTATCGCTTATATAATATATTAATCGATAATATATACACAGGCTCAGGCCATATATTATATACAATAATTATATTATATAATTTTATTTTCAATTTTATTATTGCATATATGAACAATTTTATACATCAAAATTCATATAAAATAAAATTTTAAGATATTTTTTTAATATATTTGTCTATTTATTTTAATTTATGTTAAAACTTTCATTATTGTTTTTCAAAATTTTTAAAAAACATGGCTTAGCCCCGTTCATGGTTTGGTCTGGCTTAAGACTTGGCCCACGGTGCGAAACGGGCCCACATAGGCTCAAGCCATATATTATATACAATAATTATATAATATATAGTTTTATTTTTATTTTAATATGTTAGAATTTTCATTATTTTTTCAAAAAATAAAAAAAAAGCATGGCTTAGGCCAGCTTGGCCTAAGACTTGGCCCACAATACAACATGGGCCCACATGAGCTTGGGCCATATATTATATACAATAATTATATAATATATAATTTTATTATATTATTTCATTTTATTATTGCATATATAAACAATTGTATACATCAAAATTCATATAAAATAAAATTGTAAGATCTTTTTAAATTTTCTATCTATTTTTTATTTATGTTAACTTTTCATTATTTTTTCAAAATTTTTAAAAAACATGGATTAGCCCAATTCGTGGCCCAACCTAGCCTAAGACTTGGCCCGTGGGCCCAAGGGCTATGTCGGGCCAACCCCCTAAAGTATCTCAAAGGAGGGAAGAACGGCCCAACACAGCCCGATTGTAAATAAAATGAGAGATAAAGACAATTTTTAACAAATATGAAGTAGGTAGAAGTTTAGTGGCATTATTATAAATAATTACTTGTTTAGTATCAAATATGAAAGAGGAAAAGGAGAAAGGACACGTTATAATTGTTTATTTTGTTTTATTCAATGGCATCATTGTAATTAATTAAATTTGTAACGGGAATCGTTAAGAGCATGAAAAGAGAAAGATTATAAGATTTCATTTAGGTTATATAAAAAAAGATTTCATTTGACAATTGTACAGCAATTGGCCATATGGCTTTTTACTTTTAGGTTATACTAGCGCCATGCCCCTGCTTTGCAAGGGCTAGTGAATAGACAATTTACCAGAAGAGCAAATTAAAAAAAAAAAACAAATTTTGAAGCTAACATCATGCAAGAATTTTAAAAGAAAATATATAAATCAAATTGATGCAAAAAATAATATTTATATGATTTAATATTATGAGAGAATAAAACCATTTCAAAAAACATATTACCTAATTACTTTATGGATATATAGAGCCACCATGGAACTATCCTACAAAAAATCAACTAAAAATACATGATTCAAACCATATCTATCTATCCATCTATCTATCTTTCTATATATATATACCAATACATTTATTATAGCCTATTTTGAGTTGGGGAACATTTTTTCCTTGAAAAGCTATTAACTAAATCCCATTAAATACCTACTTCCCCCCTCCCCCTCCCCTACAAGGGTATACACTTCTAAAATGTATGTTAAATTAATTTTACTTAATGTATTTTTAAAATAATTTATTAAATACCTTAGAATTATTAGTTGTAACTATAGTTTTTTCAATTTTGAGTAATTAATGTAGTTTAAGTATATAATTAGATTAATTAAATTAATAATCTATTTAATTTATCATTATTAAATCAAATAAATTAACTAAGATAGGTAATTAAATACTAAATTAATTTGCTTAACTTACCTAATTGAATATCTAAAAACATTTTTTAAGTTATAATTAGACAGTCTATAAACACTCTATGAAAATTGATGCAATATAGATTTTGCATTGTAAATATTATAATTGAAATCATATCACTTCTTCTTCTTCTTACATTAGACCCCATCAAGTTTGGTACAACCCCCAACTCTCTTGATATATCCCCCCCCCCATGCAACCCCTCACTTTCTCTCTCTTGACACTAGGACTCATCGGTTCATCGTGTCCCACATCCTCCCTCTCCCCCTCTTCCTCCCCCTAATTATGACACCGAGTGCCACATAACCCCTATCCCTTTCCCCCGACACGACACGACACCACACAAGCCACTCTCTCTGGTCTCTCCCCCTACGCAACCCCTCTCTTTCTCTCTCATGACACCACGCCCCATCGATTCATCGTGTCCCACATAACCTCCCTCTCTCTCCCCCTCCCCCCTACGTCCACATAACAACCTCTCTCTCTCTCCATTTTGATCAATGTGTACTATAAATTAATTAATTGATCTAAGCCCACTTGATTAAATTAAAGATATTTTAACAAAGGTAAGAAATAGAAAAAGTAATAGAAAATAATAAAAATATAAGAATTAAGTGATTAGTGATAGTAGAAATAATAATAAAAATATAAATTAAAAATATTCTAACAAATGTAAAATAAAAAAATAAAAAATCATGTTCATTTGCTTACATTAAAAAAAACAATAATAATCATAAAAATATGTTATGATGTTAGTATAACACTAAAAGTACAGAAAATAATGAAAAAAAAGTATAAAACAAAAATAATAAAGTTGTTAAATTAATAATGTTGAAGAATAGGTTATCGGCCTGTAGCCAAAAAAGATTGCATTTTCTGAACTAACTTATGTTAAAAGTTTTTT